TATTTCATAATATATTTATTAAAAAATTATTATTTTTAAATTTAAATTCAAGATAAGAAAATTTTCACTTACAAAATTTATCAACTAAACTAATAAGTGTTAGTGAATGTATTGAATTGAATGGTGTATTAACCATTACTACTCATAATTATTAAATTTACATATATGATATTCCTAATCTCTACATTAGTAGAATAAATAATACACAAGATGAAGGAAGTAACAAGGTTATAATTAGTTATAATTGGTATTATGTGTTTTTTTTTTTTTTTACAATGAGAGGCAATCATTTCTCATCCTTTATCTCACTCCACTCGTAGGTCATGTAACTCAAACTCATGATCTCTTATTTTCCAACGAAATAAAATAACCACTAAATTATTTAGGTAGTTGACAATTGATATTATGGGTTAATTGTCATGTATTATACTGTATTTATCTTTTTAGTCTAATTTAAATTAAATCATTTACAATACAAAATACAGAACATTAGTTCAATCTAGAAAAAAAAATTATTTACACAGGAAGCATCCTAATCCTGTTCCCTCTGATGCAAATGGTCAATCTGATCAACAGGCTGGAAGACCTCAATATGAACTTCGTTTGTAAGTTGCTTTCTTCGTTTTGCAGAACCCTCAAGGAATGACTCATTCACTATAATTTTGGGTTTTAATTTTTAATGGAAGACAGCATGTTCCATCATAAATTTTCCGGATTTGGCGTTACTTCTTTTTCAGCATTAATTTAACCTTGATATAATTGGTTTTTTTTTTTCATTTTTTTTTTTTCATTTTTAATCCCCACACGTTATTGGCATCATAACATTGAGATTCAAAGGGACAAATGTCAATAGAAGACTAGTTTGAATTTTCATCAACATTTAGCCATTTTACATTTATTTTTATTTTTATTTTTCACTTGTTCTAATCTTAAGGATTATTTTTATTCAATTTAAAATTTTTTACTTCTAATTTTTAATCACACAAGTTAAGTTTCACATGTCTTGCATTGTTGAGAATTCATCAATACTTAATTGAGTTGAGATACATTCATGACACGTAATCGTTAAATTGCAGGTTGAACTATTAGGTTTATTGAAAGAAGCAAGGGCAATTTTTCATCCTAATATTATTAGGGGAAAATAAAAATAAAAACGTGTCAAAAGCTAAAATTTTTTATAAAATTATTTAAATACTTAATTTTCTTTTTGTGATGATTTATTAAAAATATTTTAATCTTTTTATTATCATTTCTAAATTTTAATTATCAAAACGATTATAATTTTTCTCAATCCCATATCATTAACAAATGCAAATATTGTATTCTCACTTTAAAAGAAACTGAAGTTTGTAAAGTTTGTATCCTTATCAACAAGTTTTTGCCAATTAATTAATTACGATTATGACTTCAGTCTTCCTCCGGGGCTCTCTCAATCACTAACATGACTTTACCCGACAAGGTTTCTTCATTTTCCCCTAACTTGACCTTCTCTGTTTGTCATGCACTGAAAATTGAACAAATTAAACTCATCTAACCCTAATACAAGCTAAGTCCTGATTGAGCATTGGAGCAGCGGTCACAGTTTACGGCCAAGTTATGATGTCTGAGTTGAATGCGTCAGAGACATTTTATGCTTAGAATTTGAAAATCGAAAAATGCTACCATAATTTTTTTTATTCATATAATAAAAATAAATTATATAAGAAAAGATAATTATCCTTTCTTTAAATCTCTCCTCATCTAACTCAAAATTTAAATTAAAAAATTTTTAACTATTGAACCACCCCCTTTGAAGTTGAAAAATGCTATAGTTATAACCTTATGCCACATTATAAGTTTACAAGTTGATGTGTCATAATACAATTAACTTTTTTATTTAAAAATTCATGTGTGATATCATATAGATTTATTTATTTAATATCACATTATATTTATTTATGATTAAAACCCCAATTTGATCCCTCTACTTTGATTAAAAAAATCACTTTTCAATCTCTCTACTTAAAAAAATCCCTTTTTGATATCTAAAGTTTGAAATCTGATCTATTTTAGTCATTCTGTTAAATTTTAATATTAAATGACAAAAATTTCAAAAAAAAAAAAAAGAGAGATCAAAAATGGGTTTTTTCCCCAAAGTAGATGGACTAAATTGGAACTATTTTTAGCCCCTTTTTAGTCCCTTTTTACTCCCTTTTGATCCATTTACTTTGAAATTTCAAAATTTCCATTATCTAAAGTACTACATATGTAAAACTTAACGAAGAGATTAAAAAAGAATCAAATTTCAAACTTTAAAGACAAAAGAACTTTTTTAAGTAAAATGACTATAATGACACGTTTTTACCAAAATAAAAGGACGAAAATGAGAAATTAACTATTTATTTATTTAATGTAACATATCATGATTATAAGTTTATAATCTTTATGTAACATTATAACTACAATATTAGCATTCAAAAATATAACTTACACAATTTCCATCCTATGGTTGTCTTGTTGTGAAAGAATTAATGGTTTAAATCCCAGATATAGACATTAAAGGCAATAGCCATACGAAAAAGGAGAAGAAACAGCCACACGAAACTAAATTCTCTTTCTTTTTCCTTTGCAAATAACTGAAACCATAAACTTTTTGTTTGGATTATGCCCCTAACCCGAAAAAATCTTGAAACCGGAACTTCTACTTATCGTTCCCCAAAGTTTCTTCCATTGTAGACAATGACAAAAACTAGGCTACTGCTACCCACCTCTCAACCTTTATGTCTCAGAAAATCTATGTTAAAAAGCCTAGAAGATTGCATAGCAAGTCTTCTTCAGGACTGGACCAGTTCTAGCTTATTCCAATCCATTCCAACAAACAGCAACCACAGATATAATTCATCCTATTTTGCTTGTAGTACTCAGTGCTCTAGGTATCGACCCAATATCAACAAAGAAACAAAATGGGAAAACGCAATCACATCAGCAATCAACTGAAAGTTTTGAAGTGAACTAGCATATACTTGGTGAGTCAAGATTCTGAGTTTGAATCCAACATGTGGTTGATCCAAATGAAGGAACACGTTACTCCTTTCTTATGTGTTCAATGGTTATTTTGGCAGCATCCCTTGGGAAAGTTTTGCAGATGGTCTCAATTTCATGTACTGCATGATTAAAACATGCATATCAGTCTATTGATTGATAGAATAAAGGAAAAGAAACCATAGAACCGCTCATTAGAGAAAGAAAAATAAAGCATAGAAAAGAACGTGAAAATATAATGGATTAACATAACTTGACAAAGAAAACAAAGCTTGAGTATATATAGAACAGGGTTTACCTCCTCATAGAAGTCGCGTATCTCCTCTTCTGTAAGACCTTCATCCTCACCAGCATTTTCATCCCAACCTAGGGAACGTAGAAAAGCAGTTTCTTCCTCTTCCCCACCAAGAAACACCCGGCGGGCTGGATGCTCTTCTCCATTGCTAGAGCACAGATAAGAACCACCATAGGAATCACCATCATGGGTGATTTCAGACCTATTGACAGTCAGCAATCCAACAACAGAGATTTCTGATGAAGGGGGCACATGGCCATCATGCAGAGTAACAGTACTGCTGTCATCTTCGGTGGTGACTTCAACTGACTTCTCTGAGAAAGATGGTGAGACAGCACCACCAGGATCAGAGACAGCAGAAGGGGAGTTCTGAGAAGATTTCTTCTTTAGAAGGTTGAAGAAATCATTCCTACTCTGGGCTTGGGCTGTTGTTCTCTTTTCAATAGTTACACGGAAAGAAGTTGGATTGCGCTCTGCATTAGAATGGCCAAAGCTGTGGCTCGAACTCCTAAAGGGAGCAGAAGCAGCAGAAGATGGATTACCACTAACCGGGCTATTTACTAATTTGCTTCCATTAGTAGGACTCAAGGTCTCCTTTGCAGTTGTAGGAAAACCATTCAACTCTCGTGATGGTTTGAGAATCTGAAGCCTGCTTTCATTAAGTGTCTTTAAACTGTCAGATCTTGCAGTTCCACCACGTGAGTTATGGTGAGAGAACAAGGAATACTGGTGCTGTCCAATCTTAGATTTTGATTTCTCGGAAGGACTTAGCACCTAAATGGATAGTTAAAACTCTAATAAGTACCTCAAAATATCATACAGAGTATTGAAACATCAAAAATAGTTAAAATGAGAATAGAATACTAGTCCCAACATTTGTACAGATGTTTTCATACCATATCCTCTATGGAGTGGAAAGTAGCTCCCAAGTAAGGCCATAAATAAGTTGTTTTAAAGTATTATAGAATCAACATGCTACCAACATGACCTTGAAATATGTAATGTAAGTCCTGTAAAACCCATAATCATGCGGAGAAGAGTAAACGGGCTTTATACTCTAGAAGCTCCAGGTCACTTAAGTGTCCCGTATTTTGTAGAGCCACAAGGTCTTCATCTTCAGTTCCACTAATGATTAAATGAATTATGGTGAAAATATCACATAAACATATTCCAGGAAATCAAAAGGCTATATATCCAACTAGATCCCCTCTATGCTCCACAGGGCTAGCATCAAGAGCAGCAGATCCCCCTTAGAATATCAGAAAGAGTTCTAGATGCTTTAAAT